TATAATGAAGCAGGGTACTGCCCCGGGAAGTTTTCCCAGGCTGGTAAATACACAGATTAAAAGCGAAATGTTTTCATTTCGGTTCGTTCTTAGCCAAAAAAAAATAATAAATTTCGTTCAGGTTATGCAGAGCGAAAATAATACGTACTGCATTTACAAAATAATTCTTATTAACTTTATTATTCTTGAATTTTCAAGTACCTTCGGTTTTTGAATCCATACCCACAATTTCATAATCCGTGCGCACGCTTTCGCAATCCGTTCCCTCGGGTTTGTAAACTGTACTCTCGGATTCATGCAGCAAGCTGCTGGTAGCCTACGTGTTAACGAATCATATTGTATATTATTTTATTGCATATTATTATGTGGAATAGGCCTACAGCAAATAGTCTTAAGTGATTCTCTATCAATTGTAACGGTACGAGGTGGAATACAACGATTTAATAAGAAAGATGTGCATCAAAATCTTGTTTAATTTGTGATAATCTTAGCACTTGATTATTATTGTATAATAAACCTGGCATTGTGACTGACTTTGGAGTCATTTGTTCCTCTTTTGTAAGTCGTTTTGGATAAAAGCTTCTTCTAAATGCATATGTAACCTAAATGTATAATAATAATAATAATAGTTATTATTATTTTCTTCTCTTTTTTATTCCTTATTCCTTATCTTTCTAGCTTGTACTTATTTGAACAATGTCTAGAAACTTGGTATTTCAAGCACTTCCTGTATCTGTTTGCCTCTTTAAGAAGAATCGCTTTATGTATCCCCCAATTGTAAGTCGCTTTGGATAAAAGCGTCTGCAAAATGACTAAATGTAAATGTATTTTTTTTATAGGCTAAATAAATGAGTGCACTTAAGACAGTAAAATGTTTGTCATAAAATAATGTTTTATCTTTAAATAACATTTTACAGTTTTGGAGCTGTGTTTGTGTACTATTCATTCTTAACATATTTCATTCATTCATTCACAGACGTATTTAGGTGATTTTATTATACTAAGCTTTTTCCCCCCGAGTTAGATGCATGCTTCACTGTTAAAGTTATTATTAAATAACTAGGCCTATTATAACATTGCATTCAGTTAGAGAGCAAAGGAATGACAACATAACCGGTACATTATTGGTTTTGTATTGCTTTTTACCTTCTTCTCTCGAAACTCTATCGTTTTATTTATTTTATTTTTTTTAGAAAATTCAGGAAATGTTCTATTCTTCTTTTTAGCGTTTATTTTAGGCTATAAAACACAGGCGGAGGTGTTTTATCCTATTGGTGATTAATATAAAATAAACGCTAAAAAGAAGACTATTTTGTGAGTGCGGATCATGGTCTCATAGGCTACTATGAAAAATAATGTTTAATAAACACAATACTATGCATCCCGCACCGTGGTTGAATCTGCCGGTGGGGGCGGGGCCACAAATCCACGAGTTTACAAACCCGAGGGAACGGATTGCGAAAGCGAGCGCAC